GACCATATTCTCAGCAGCCTTTTTGGTGTCACCTGTTGGTAACATACATTTGACAAAACTGTAAGTTAAAAATTACAGTGGTTACTGCAGTTTTCTAAGTGCTAAGCTTACTGTGTGTGCATGCAGAATGAAGTGATAAGGTGGGTGGACAAACAGTTTTCACTGTGCCTTTCTAAAAACCAGGGCATTGTTCAGAGCCACTGTCTTGGGAGATATCATCAAAAGCAGTTGAATATCTCTGCTAGTGATGAATGGAACAGAGCAAGTTTCTGAAACGTGATAAGAAGATGGCATTAAAATTGCCTCAAATGTCCCTTAAAGTTAGATTACGTATGCTGTCATAAGGCAAATGGAGGGACTACATTTATTTATTTTTTTACATTAAAACCATAAAAAAGCTTCTGTTAGCAAATTAATGTTAGTCTCACAGTGAAGATGTAGGTGAACTAAAATAACAGCCATGTTGCCCTGCCTGAATTACCACTGGATAGGTTGCATTCTGTGTAATGGTTGCTGAAGACAGTGTTACTATCATATGAATTTTATCCAGTGTAACAAAAATGAATTTGGCCAGCTTTCTTTCATTTTCTCATCATGGATCTTCGACAGGTAAAAAGACTCAATTTCAAGAAACATACTGAAGGAAAAAGAAGGGCAAATAGCTTGCTCCTTACTTACCAGATGACTGCCAGCCTGATCTCACTCAACCGGACCCTGCTGCCTTTGTGCCACCTGTGACCAGTGACACATCAGAGCAGCAGTTGTGTCCCGTGGATCCCCAAGGGGTGCTCCCCAAGCTATGAGTTGTGGTATCCACCCTGTGCCTGAACCCTGCTCTGTGTTTTGCATTCTCCACCCTGTTTTCATTAGCCGCTTTTTCAGTCTTACATCACCTATTATGTCTGTTGGCAATTAAAGTTCTGTAAACTGTAATGTCTTGGTCTAGTCTTCAGAGTCTGTGCATGTCCCCTATGCTACTTTAGGCAGCACTCAGTCATTTTTCCTGTTTTGCAAACAAACAAGTAATATTTCAATTATTAAACAGATTTCTGAGAGTGCTCTTTGCTCTCTGTTATTTTTTTCTTCCAGAAGCAAGTTATTTTTATACTTAGCATAGACTTGGTATCTCCTTGGTGGATACGTACATTTGATTTACAAATTATTGAAAGAAGACTGGAATGTAACACTGTGAAGACATAACTGGGATCCTTGAGTACAGTTCTCAAAGATATGTTATGCTTGCATTAAAAATGTCCCATCTTTTGATGACTAATTTTAAACTTGTGCAGCCCTAGCCTTTGGAGATGGCAATTATAAAGCTGGGAATTAAAAGATTCTAGATGAAATTAATGAGGGAATATTGGTAGTTTATTAGTCTAGTCATAAAAAATATTTCAGACTAAAAACCAGTCAAAGTTGCTAATCTTAATACTGGAGATGGTTATTCTTCTTCCACATATGTTGAAAAATCTGCTCAATTATATGTGCTATAATTTCCCTGAAATATGATTTCCAGAATTGTGTTTGGGGTTTTTTTTTACTCAATTAAATTGTATTAATTATAAACAGCAACAATAAGGTTCAGCATCTCAGCCAAAAAAAAAAAAAAAATCATTTAAATCATGAGAAAGAAAGGTATTTTCATATGGTGCTGTTTAATAGAGGAATAGATTGAGCTTCCTGACTGGGCTATTTTGTATGACTGTCAGAAAAAAGCAATGAAAAATATTAGGGCATTAGCCTTTTTAATGAAACAAAATAGCAGTATAAAATGTTTGGTTTTTCTTTTTTTTTTTTTTCTGAGAGAGATGTTGAGTCAATTCAAGGTAGAATATGTCAGTCTGGGGAAATGCACACTGGTAATTTTTCACTGGATATATTTGCATGTTGAAAATATTTTCAAAATGCAAAACAAGTTTTGTGCCAAGAAAGTGACTCCACAGTATGACCATCTGCAGAATAGGAAATACCCTTGGACAGATTTGGAACTCAGCATTTGGTTCCGCATGCAGATAGCACAGTAACTAATTTTAGAAGATATCTGGATTAATTCTGGTGTTAGCCTCTGCACAGTGATTAAAATGGCATATGGCAATTTATTTAATAATATATTTTCTGAAGTTCCCAGTATTTTCACCAAAAGCATTAACTCAAACCTTGCAATTGTTTGAGTAGATTTAGTATTCACAGTGTTTTTAAAAATGAGCTTAATTGTCAAATTGTCAAATTTCAAACTGAAATTGTCAAATTTCAGTTCAAATTACCTGCTTACCTGACATGCATCTCAATGTGCTGTCACCTTTCTCAGGTCTTCCTTCCACTTCCAGCATTCACCGCATTTGGGAACGCTGAGTTCAGTTAAACTAGTATTTTACTGAAAGGAAGGATGGTTACAGGAAAATCTACAGTGCTTTGTTATTGAATAGGAGGATGTGTGCCATGGCTTTTCCGCTGTTCTGTGCTCTCTCAGCAGGGCCACAGGAACCAAGGCTGCCCTGCTGTCCCCAGCCCTTCTAGAGCTGGTTCATTTTCTGTCGCACAATCAAGCCATGGTTTTGATCAAGAAGGGTGCTTGAGTCAGATCGATCTGTTGAGTTACGTGCTTTATGCCTGGTAACTTGGAGATGCCAAACACAAAAGGCAGTACTAGAAATATTACAAACCACAACCCTGCACCAGAAAAACTACATACTTGTAAACAGTTTTGGCCAGGCCAGAAAATTTCCTTTTCTTCCTGCTCACCTCACACTGCTGCAAAAGATAGAAAATGAGGGAGGCAATAGGAAGAGAAAGGAAATTATGGACAAATTTAAAGCACAAGCACACTGAATCTAAAATGCAAAGCCTTTTTGTAATAGGCAAAATGTATGAGGGATCTTACTATGTCCGTTGTGCCACTGATAACAGTAAGTATGGGGACAAAGAGGATGAAGTTCTGGTGGTGCATCTGTGACAGCAGTTTGCAGTGGGGGAAGGACAACTCTCTCCTTGGCAGGAGTCTTGGGCTTCCTGCCACGTTGCCTTCAAAGGGTGCAGTGCAGTTTAAGAAGGAGGTGGAAAACAACAATGTTGAGTTCAGTGACAAGATAAAGACCTCTGTATAAAATAATGTCTGCTGGTTTTGTAATACTAGGAAAATCTTTTCTGACAGAGAAGAAGAAAATTTATTTTCGTCATTACATTTTCAGAAATAACCTATGTCTGAGTATCTCATGGCAATAAGCATTTGTGATGCTTGTGTGCTCTATTTCTAAGACATATCAGAGCTGCTTATTTAAACAACCTTTTTTACCTTCTAGTAGCTGCTTTAACTAAAAGATTTGTTTGGGTTCAAAGAAGTGCTGTTTTGAATGTAGGAACGGGGCGCTGTACTGTGAAATGGGCTGCTATTGTAGCTGTGATGGTATAAGGACATAGACAAGGCAGAATTTGTAGCGAGAGGCAATTTTATTAGATGAGCAGATGTAGCTGGGAGAAAAAACAACCTCTCCTCTAGACCTGAAGAAAGGATCTGAAAGCTTTTTGATTATTTGTTTCATTAAATCTTTCTTCAGAGTGGCAGGACTTTAAACCTGCTGCAAGGCTTGTTACTCCCTTACTCTCCTCCCAAAAAACATGCAGTTCTTTCAGATTACTTGAACTTTGGCCTGCCCTAAGTAAAACCAACCCAGACACAACTATATATTAATTACTGAGTACGTATAGGTAAATCTGCGACATTTGCTCAGCTATTATGTATTGAATGATGAAACATATATGATGTTTCTCTCCAGACTCTCTCGTTGATCCTATGCATTCACTTAATGTGTTGTTGAAAAAACATCCTGTATATGGTACAAAATTAAAATAATACATATTGTTATCAAGATTGTGTTTCTATGCTTTGAGTATTTTGACTGTTCTTTATTTCACAGTTAATTGCATTTAATTCTATATATTTTTGGCATAAAATACACACTTTTTGCAAGATTTTAGGTCTAGAGACAATGAGCTATTATTCCCAATTTATATTTAAATAAACAAGAGTTGCAATCAGCTTTACTGGACTCCATGCAACAATTCTACATTGCAGTGTCAGTGGTGCAGGTCTATTAATAGTACAGTTAGCACTGTAGATAATTGTCACAGGAATGTCTGGATATGCACAGTAGCACATTTTAAACAACAGCCAGATGATTGACCATTTTTGTAATCTTTTGTTAAGTACTGAAAGTAAATAAAGGATTTGTTGTTGCTGTACAATTTGAAAAAAAATTAGTAGTACATGGTTACTCTCCTCATTCAAATTCACTTTCAATGTGATTTTCTTTCACTGAATGTTGTATATGGTGCGAAGAATGAAGAAAACAGAGGAAAAGTGTGTAGGGCACTAATTTTGATTACAATAGCAAAAATATCATGAATAAATTACTTAGCTCATATTGAATATATTATCAATTCGAATTGTGTCAAAACATACTTTGTACACCATGCGTATTACCAAGAATATTGCAGGTTTCTGGTATTGTCTAAAGCCAAAAAGGTGGTTTTGCTGTGTCTGAAGAAGTATGTAGTGAGATAAAGAATTGTTACTAACCCTTGTTTTAGAGGAAAGTATTCAAATAAAGGTGTAAAGCAATGTTAATTAAATGCACGTATTGTGTTCTGATTCCTCGTGGCCTAGTAAGATACGGGAATGAGAAGTGGAAGAAAGTATTAAAATAAATATTCTAATTTAAAGAGATGAAAGATATTTTTTGTAGTGTGAGGAAACACTTTTATCCTTTGCAGTTTTCAAAGTATTTTTCCTTGCATTAATGCTGGGCTGCTTGTTGCCTTCTGCTTTACTCTGAAGTAGTCTAAATCAGAATAGTGGATTTGTTACTGATGAGGAGAGCTCACTGACTCTCTAACTGTCCTCACATGTGAACAGAGATTCTGTCTTTTCTAGTGCATTTCAGAAGTACCATGAAGAAACCCACATGTTCATTTGCCATAAACCTTTTTTTCTGCCTTTTCAGGGAAGCAATCAGTCGTGTTTGTGAAGCTGTACCTGGTGCCAAAGGAGCCTCCAAGAAACGAAAGGTATTCTTCTCTTCTTGTAGTGAAGTTGACTGTTTTTTCCTAGTTCACACCAAGGAGACCAGCACAGCAGGCAGGAAACTTAAAGCAGCTTTGAGAATTGCAGATCATTATGTATTTAAAGTATTTGCTCTTCTTACATACTGTATGCTACTTCTCTCTTTTTGTCAGAATCTTCTTTTACAGGAATCTTGAAGTAGGAGTACATCTCAGAAACAGACTGAAGCTTGTTCCTACTGTACAAACTCCATTTGTGTGTGTGTGTTTTCTTTTGTAGATTTGCAGGTGAAAGGCTAAAACCAAACAAAATGGGATGCCTTTTCATTCAATACATGAGCGAATTGTGAAAATCCATACTGGAAACTACTGAAGAGTTCAAAAGTATACATTATTTTGAAAGTGACTAGATCTGTTTAAGGAGCATAGCTCTTCTGATGACATTTAAAGAGTTTGGAAATTGCTAGTTACTGGAAATTGAAAGAATGTGCCCAGCAATTTCCTGTTTCACATGCTCTTCCCTAGGCAACATTGGCCTAGCGCACTGATTACTATACTTTGATTCTTATTTGTAGTGCGAATTAGGATCTGCAAAAAAGGAATGAAGGAGGCCTCAGCTTGGCCCCTGCAGCACCATACACTCTTCTACACGCCCATAAGCAAAGTTGGGATTCAATGCTAAGCCTCAGGGAGAGAGTGCAGAATGAAATTAACTGTAACTGTTGTGTGTGTTTCTGGATGCAGAAGAACAGGCAGGTGAAAGTGATGTCTGCCTGCTTGCCACTGCCTGGCCATCTTTGCAGTCCCCACAGAATAGAAAGACTGAATTCTGCAATAGGTAATGTTCCCAAAATAAGGCAATGGAACCACATCTGTGACAGCATAATTGGAAATTGTCTCAGAATTGAAGTTGTGATTCTTGTCTTCTCCAGGAAATTTATCTCATTGGCAGTGTTAGGTTCTCCAGCCTTGATTTTTAAACCAAAAAGGCAAAATGCCTTTTTTGTAAGTGTTCTATCATACAAAATGTAGGAGTCTTACACGCCTAGTGAGACACTGTATTACTATGTTTAGGAGTAGTGTCACTTATTAGTTGTGAAAATGAAGTACTGTTCTTAAAATAAATCTACTGGTGGAGAATAAATTTTGCCCAGCAACAGAATATCAGCAAAACGTTAAAGACAAGTTATCTGTTGTCAGGGTGTAACTTCCATGGTTTTGCCTCTACTGGTTACTGATCTGGTTAAGGAGGCTTCTTGAGGACACTGGCACCGTTAAGTGGGGATCATCAGGTATTCGCTGGGAAGGGTTTAAAAAAGAAAGAAGAATAGTTAGAAGAGCTTGTTTTAGAAAGCTTCTTGTGAAAATACTGTCTCTGTAACAATATGAATTAAAACCCATGGAGCACAGATGTTGCATGCAAGTAATAAGTAGTCAGTGTGTTTTTAATCAATCAAACTGAAAGGAAAAAGTTAGCAATGAATTTAAGCTTTAAGGAGGAGTACAAGATTGGCCAGTGTGGTAGAGACAAAGCTTACCAGCCTTGCAGGCACTGTATCTCAGATACATTGGCAGAGGAACACTGCCTTCAGTCACAGCTCTGCTTTCATAATCTCATTACCAACATGCATGTGCAGCTGTATATCTGCAGTGAGTGCATGGCTTGGTCTGCTCTTTCTGCAGGGCAGCCTGCTTTTCAAGCTGCATCAACCTAGACAAGACAGCTGTATGAGCTGCCAGAAGTGGGAAGTTTGTGACCTATGTAACTGCTCTGAGGTAACCCCTCAGGTTACACTTTGATCAGGCATCAGGGTATACATACCTAACTTGTAATCACTATTAGTAGTAGTAGTATAAATGAGATACTATCTCGAGAGGAAAATAGCTGTTCCGATGAAGTGATCTTTCAAAGGTTAGCAGCTTTTCAGAAGTTTTATTGTTCGGGATAACCCTATCTACAAGAAAGGTCACCCAAGTAAATGGAGCAAAAATATGCTTTTCCTCCCCCAACAGACACCGAACAAAGTTCTGTCCAGCATCTTGGGAAAGAGCAATCTTCAGTTTGCAGGAATGAGCATAATGCTGAATATTTCTACTGCAAGCTTAAACCTTATGACTCCTGATATGAAACAGGTGAGTATAAGAACGATATTAATTTGTGAGTCTTTTGGCAAACAGCCTAGTGTGCAGTTATTTGTAATCTACCAAAATACTGGCTTAAGGTGTAATTACTCAATATTGTTAATAAAGTGAATGAAAATAGAATATAAATCATATTAGGAGTCATATTATGCTGCAGCATTCAACACGGATTTGATTTTCTCCTTACCATGCTTGAGGTTTTGCTCTTAAGGGACCTGTAATTTGAAAAGGCGTTTACTGACTATAGGAGTTCTTGTTAGGCACAATTACAAGCATTCAGAGTGTTCAGAGAAGTGCATCTGGAGTAGGTGACTAAAGGACGGAATGTGCAACCCTGTTGTTTTTTTTTTCATTCTTCTGTCTTAGAGCCTTGAAGGGCAATCTGTTTCTAAAGTGCTGCTAAAAATATAGCTGGAGGCATTTTGCAGTGCAGTGAAATGCCAGTCTTTTCAAAAGACTAGGCAGACTTTTTCATGCAGCCCATTTCTTCTTCTCTGTGCTGAAGGTACCCTACAGACTTTGGAGAATTACTGCATTGGTCTGTGAATTATGAATGAGATGAGAAAAATTCTTGCTCAGAGTATAGAGAAAGCAGTCAGGCTTGTGTAGTCACTGCTATGCTATTTGCAGGGAGCCTCATACTGTGATAAGGCACACACTTTATGCCCAGATGGGGGAAAAAATTTTTTTTGTTGGCTTCAAGAGCATCAGGATTACAGAAGAAAATGAATATACACATTGTATGATAAAAAACCTGCTGCTCATTATTATATTTTCACTGATTATATTTTCAGTGATTCTTATCCTCCATTTCAAAAGCATTGTAATCTTCTACAACGAGCACTGAGACTATGAGTGCAGTGTTATGGTTGATTGCAGTATTTTGGAGCCTTATTATGCAATAGATAAAGAGATGTTTTTCATTAGGCCAGTTGCCCACAGTCAGAAGCATAGGAACTTGATCTATTTATATTACATCTATTTACCTATTTATAATATACTACATCTATTTAAAAAGTGCCAGACCCTGAAAGTGATTTTGTTTTCAGCCGACATCAGAGTAGAAATGCAATTAAATGTTATATCCCTGAAAAGGATCCTCCCCCAAATGCTTTGATTTTTCTCTGTGAGTGATGAGCCTGGTCTAGCATAGAATGGGAGTTTGGTGGCCCTGCATGTGCAGGGAGGTTGGAGATTCATGATCCCTGAGGTCCCTTCCAACCCTGGCCATTCTGTGATTTTGTGATGAAGTGATAACCAATGAGCTGAAAAACAAACAAAAAAAGGAGCTGACAAAACTGTTTCTCCCAGATCATTATTGTTCTGGATGCTCCCAGTCTGAGAAACATCTGGTTTCTCAAAGATCCAATTAAACTATTGCCTCTTGTTTGTGCTGAGCATCTGACTTTAAAATAAGCATGGCTCTGCCCTTGGAGGCTTCACCCAGGAATATGGCTCTGGGCATCTTTTTCCCAGAGGAGGTGAAATGAAAGAAAAAAGGATGTTGCTTGGGTGGCAGGCAAGCAGTGGCTTATGTCCCTGCACAAGAATGTTGTGATCATGCTAAGCAAAGGAATACAGAACCTTTTTGTTTTCTTTTGTTTCATTTTATTTGTTTAAAGTGCAGATCTGGGTAAGCTGAGGTTTTTCCAAACAATTTGCCAAGCAGAATAAACTCCTTCATTTAAATTAGGGCAAGATACCAATTATCTGACACTCCTTTCAATATTTCGTATTTGGGGAAAAAATTTAGTTTGCCTCAAACTAATCTAAAATGTTTAACTATGGAATTTGGAAAGAAAAAAAAAAAAAAGAAGTCTCACATTTCCTTAAAATTTGAAAAAATATTTTTGAGGCAATCTTAATTTTTCTTTTTAATGCTGATGAATGAGATGTTTGCACAGTACCAAAGGTGCAGAAAATACCTATTAGTTCACTTTCATTGTTAAGTTCACTTCCTTTTTATGGAAAAAAAAGATATGGAAATTCTCACTGCTGAATACAGAGTGGTGGTTCTGCATTGAAAACTTAAAAATTAAAGATAAATCCTGAGGCTGCTGTGGAAAAGGAAGAGTATTACAAAGGTAATGTTCTATGTATGAAATAAACACTTTGAGTTGTCTGTGTTGATTCTATCTGACTTGATGAAGTTTTCTTTTTAAGGAAGGATGGTTGCTAATTCTTTTAGATCTTTAAAATTCAGGATGAATAAAGGCATCACAGAATTTTTTCTACTGAGTCATTCTTCCCTTCCCTCCTCTACCTGCTCCCCTCCCCCTCCAAAAAAAAAACAACCCCAAAACAGTTTTTTTAAATTTATGGTTCCCTCTCCAAGTGAGGGATTGAAATGTCCGAGGCACTGAGTAAGTGGCATGTCCTAAAACAGATGAATACTTTGGTATGAATTCTATGAATAAAATGACCAAGAGAAATTTTCTCTCAAATGACCTTTTCTTTCTTGGTTCTTACATGATTTTATTATTAAAAGAATAATAAGTTAAATCTCAGGACAGCAGTGCATCAACAACACCAGCACAACAACAGCAGAACATCAACGACAACAGTAGAACTGTTATCCTCATATTAGAGATTCACTACAATTCATCTCTTCAGAGAAATGTCTTGTTAGTTCAGACTGTACATAAGCAAATTGAATTTAGTCATTTCAAAGCCCTGGAGTATGCCTGAAATTTTACCATGATGCTAGATTGCAGCTAGATTGAAAATCCCATTTGCATATTGCAAACATTTATGTTTGCAACATAAAACAATACAGAGCTATTGGAAGGAATATTAGGAACTTGAGCTGGTGTGCAGGTTGGCATGATGTCATCAATTTCACCATCATGGTATTAGCAGGAAAGTATTTTGATGAAGGGGACTCTGCTTCATTCATTATTAACTGTGATAAAGAAAGCGAACTTTAGCAGATTAAAAATTCTCATGTGGAGTCTGTATGAGAAATCCATATGAATTACTGGAGTTATAAGAACGTTTAACAATTTTGCTGTGTCCTGCCAGGTTCTAAAGAATATCAGAACAAATACATTCATCCTTGAGTTTGTTTACATTCTCATGTTACAGATGCACTCCTTTGTAGATATAACACAGCTTATTTTGATTGCGGTTTTGGATTTTCACCCCCAAAAAGGGGTGAACTGTGAAAAAATCCTACTGACTTGCACTTCATTCTTTTGATCTTTTGACACAGATCATAGCAAATCACCATATGCAGTCTATCTCTTTTGCATCTGGAGGTGACCCGGTAAGCATTTATTTTTAAGCTTTCTCCCACACAGATAATGCTTCGAGAACCATGTGACAAAATTTATTGTATAGCTTTCTGAAAGAAAAATACAACCACCTTAGCTCCTGCTTCTTGTTTCATGAATTCTTCTTGATTATTGCCATCAAACTCTTTTTGAGGGAAACTAATGTCAGGCAGTCACAAATCCTGCTCTTTGAATGACTGAAAGGAAAAGTATCAAGGGCTGCAAGCATTCATATAAAAACTGGTAAGTGGAGCTCCATTTTTCATTGTAGGATAAGCAAATGGGTATTGTGTGAATTTTCATCCCAAATGTTTTTTATTTTGTCGTCTTTGCAGTAACATACAGTTATGTTGCAGGTATATGTATAGGTTTTTTTCCTTTTTGCCTTGAAGAATACAATGAAGAGTGCATTAAGTACTGCCTCCAGGTATACTCATTACACACAGGCAGTTTGAAGACTGGCTTTCAGAAAAGGCTAGATCTTTCTTTGTAATTTTGCAAAGTTTTTGGATACACCTACACATTTGATTCATTTTAGATCGAAGGACAAACTCTGATTGTGCTTTATCCTGTCTTTATGAGTGGCCCATCCAAAGGCATAATAAATGTGCTCTAAAAGTATTTCTCCTTTACAAAGAAGTGAAAGAACTGTAAAACAGGACAGTGCTTTCTTCATAACCTTAGGAATATGAGATCTTTTAAGCCTAGACTAATTGTATGAACCTACTTTTTGTTCTGTCATATTATCTTAATTTATCTGTCACAGAGTACAGTAAGGTGACTTACAGCCTGCCTTTGTAAGCTATTCCTCAGTTAAGCTGTTAAGTTGAAGACTGGTGGCATTTCCCCTGTGCATTTTACTGTCCTTGGTAAACATAAGGGCAAACATCAATCTTTGAATAGCTCTGCTGAACTCAGTTAAGTTCCAGAAGGGAAAAGGACACCATGTCATAATAATCTGAGGAACAAAAAATGGATTAACAGCAGCTTTCAAATACAACAGATTGCAATGGATGCTGCAAATGAACAATTACTGAAGTAGGCAGAGGAGTGATTAGCACAGATCTCTGCCTCCATAAGAAGATTCTTTGCTCCCCATCTGCCATCCCAAAAGCTAAGTTGCACACTGCCCACTGATAGAGTGATTTACTAGAGAAGAGGAGAAAAGCAGTAGCGACTGAATTTGGAGTAAACAGGCTCTTCTAAACGTTTTGAAGAGAAAATTATACTACTGAGTCAGTGAGCTAGCAGAGAAATCGAAAGGTATGGCGTGAGAGAGCCTTTGAGAGACAGTGAAATTGTGACATTACTTTCTCAGTATGACCACTCATATGATCTCATCCTGGAGGTAGAATGGGTAGGTGTGACACTGTGCAGGCTCATCTCAGGTGGCTAGAATATGACACAACTTTAAATCAAAAGCTGCTTCATAAATGTTGTGGTTCGGTGATTTTTTGTTGTCAGTATTCCGCATCAGAACATCATGTGGACCAGCAGCAGCTAAAAAGTTAATGTTCTGGTCCCGTTTTCTGCCTTTTATGGGCATCCTGATGGGAGGAGAGGGGCGGCATCCCTTGACGACCTGGCGGGAAGAGGAAGTGAGGTGGAGCTCCGGAGAACCCCAGGAGCTGCCTCTCCTTCCGGCTCCAATCAGCCGCGTGTTTCTCTCGCACCGTCTTGGTTTGACTCGTACTTTCAGTGCTCGTCACTCTCATTTTGTTTGATTTGGTTAATTTAGTAAATTACCGTTCCTCCTCAGATCATTGCCAGTGTGCCTTCTCAATTAAAACTACCTGCTAGCTCTCTGCCCTTCTCCCTCTCCCAGAGCTCACGCAGCCGGGGGAAGGGGGGCGGGTCGTGTGGCAAACTGTTAGTTTCCTTGTTTTTTAAAATCTTTTTCCTGGGGCCTGTGCCCTCCCTATCACGGACTTATATCTAGCAATAACCCCGTGACAACTGCTGGTGGTTCCTTTGTGCCAAGAGCACAGGAGAGAAGGCGAATGTTAGGTATGTGATGCAAGGTACTGCTTTATTAACCCACCTGTAAGGAATTCAGACAGAACTTTAATCAGCCCCTTAATTGTGTCCACTTGGTTGAAGGTTGGTGTCAACAAACCTTATCCACAAATCACAGTTGAGTCGTAGTCCATACACTCATCTCATTGTATAAGATCTCAGATGTAGACATAATGGCCATACTGCACAAAATGTGAGAAGCTGAGATCTGTGCCTGAACTACTCCAAGGAATACTTCCCTTATAGTGAATTTTGAAGTTTGATTTATTCAGAAGTGAAGTGGGTTTGCCACTACTCCTCGACCCATCCATTTTTTCTACTCAGGCTTTCTGCCACACGATTTTCCTAGCTATTAGCTTTGCAACTTTCCTTCTACTCTCTAAGTGTTAATTACCTTCATAACTGAAAATATATCCAGCAGAAGAGTGTTCCTTGGTCTTGTAGAACTGTTTGAATACCATCTCATATTTGCAATATTTCTCTTTGCAATGAGTCAGACCTTAGTAGTGATGCTTAGCCAGTAATGTAAATACATCTTCTTATTACCCATGAATGAACTACACTGCTCAATATTTCTGAGGGCCATCAGTTCTGCTTTTTCTGTCACAGACCCCATTGCTGATTTGTATTTTGAAAAAAACTCTCTGGGTACTTGAAAGATGAGGACTTGACATTTCTATTCACCTCTAAATTAGGCCTTATCCACATCATTCTACTAGATTTGTTTAATTGATTTTCCAGGACCTTGAAAGAGATTTTTAAGTTATGCTGGAATAGACCATCATACCAAAACATGTAAGTGTTTTTATTCATTTTAAGTTGTGCATAACATGTCATATTGAGCCCATACTCCCAGGAATATGTACTCTGGACTGCGATAATTTGATTTAACCTGTGCAAATTTTTTGCATTCAATGTCGCTAACTTTTTTTCAGGATACAACTGACTATGTTGCATACGTAGCTAAGGATCCTGTTAATCGGAGAGGTAAGTTAGAAATGTCTGTTTGGCATCTATTTTCCCTGGAGAAACATGGACTATTTATGATGTAATTCAGACTTTTTTGCTCCCTGAAAAAAATAAACGTAGCCCAATAAAACATTGCCTTGGACAGAGTAATGGAACAATTGTGTAGCAATAAAGAACATCCATATGCAAGTTGTTTCTGAAACCTGGAAAAGGCCTTTTCTGTCGTTCATTTCTAAATTTCACTCAGATTTTCTTCATCTTTTAAATCAAAAGCCAGTCTGCACAAGCTTCTAGTCAACAGCTGCCTCAATCAAGATGCAAGAAGCATCTTAACTCTTGTGATTAGGAGGCTGAATCTGTCAGAGCTCAATTCATGACTTATTCTTCCTGGTAGAATCAGATATTTTTACTAAGTGTGAGCTTTTGAACCAGCTTGCTGGAGGCTGTAAATCTTCTTTCTCTGTGAAGTTTTATTAATGCAGATTCCAGGTTCTATTTCACTGTCAGTGAAAAGTCAGGAATAGGGAACCTGTTGCTGATTGTGTTCAAAGACTGAGATCTGGCACAGTCTCAAATATAATAGCAATTTAAAAGAAGTGTGAGTTACAGTGTGTAATAATGGATACATAAAACATTCCTGCTTGTAATGCAGAAAGCATCATAGGTCTTAATACTAGATGCAGAATATTGTATAACATACCTGAGAATCTATTTATTATCATAGATTCATAGAGGAAAAAGACTAGCTTCAAAGCATGTCCAAAGTGGTCCATATTAGCCAGCTTTCTTGGTTGCTTCTTCCCTTGAGGGTTCTACCCCACAGTACTTACCAAGCAGACCCTTGAAAAGGCCAAGCCTGCTCAGCTGAAGTCCAAGGTATTGAGCTTGTTGTGTGCTCTCCTTACTGTTCTAAGAATCTTGAATTTCATGGTCACTGCAGCCAAGGCTGCCTTTGAGCTTCACATACCCCACATGCTTCTTCTTATTGACAGCTTAGCACATCTCTGTTTTGGTTCCTTTATCACTTGGAAAACAAACTTACCATCAACACATTCTAGGAGATCTCCTGGATTGCTTATATCCTTCTGTCCCTCCAAAAGATATCAGAGTTGTTGAAGTCCCCCATGAAGACAAGGTTGTGTGAATGAGAGGTTAACTGTCTGTTAGTAGAAGGCTTCATTTGCTTGCTTCTCCTGGCCAGGTGGCCTATAGCAGGCCCCCAATATAATGTTAGCAATCCTTTCTTCCTTTTAATCCTTACCTATGAACTCTCGTCAGCTCCTCGTTCATCCCTGGACAGAACTCAGTGTGCTCCAGCTTGTCACTGACATAGAATGTGACCTCTCTGCTTCACCTCCGCTGCCTGTCCTTCCTAAAAAGCCTTTATCCTTCCATTTCAACACTGTAGTCATGGGAGTCTGGGATAAAACTAAAGTGGGATAATATTAGTGAAAACAAATTATGGAGTGGTTAAATATTTTATAGTTGGTGTTGTTATTAATATTTACTAATGTCTTTATAAGCTCAACTTAAACCTCAGAATTTTCTTGCAACTTGTTATTTTGAGGTAATTACAGATGAGTTTTTATGAGGTTCACAGTCTTTATGGACCTGTTAACACTGTGGAACTGATTTGTGCTCTCATCTATTACAGACATAAGCTACAGCAATTTTATTTAACCGTTAAATACTCCATTGTTTGAAGTTCAGTGTGCTTGCTTTAGGGTTTATTGAAATACACATACCGTGAATAGGGCAACTATGCCTAACATGGAGATGCTTTGTCACAGGTCAGCGAATCCCTGCTGCACTGCATATCCCTGCTGTACTGCATGCACTCTAACATAAGTAACAGCTTCCATGTGTTAATCTTTTTCATGTAGCTTGTCATATCCTGGAATGCTGTGATGGCCTTGCCCAGGATGTCATCAGCACCATTGGGCAAGCATTTGAGCTTCGATTTAAGCAATACTTGCAGTGCCCCTCTAAGATACCTACTTTCCATGATAAGTGAGTATGATTACAGAAGATTGCTAAGGAATCTACTACTTCATATTTATTTATTAAAATGTGCTGTAGAAAAAAATTGCTGAAGAGGAAAAGGATTTACATGCTTCAGAGAGTTCTGCTAAATTGCAAATCAGGTTTGCCTATTTCATATGAAAAGAACACAACCATTTTAAAAGAATGCAGTAAATCTGGATTCCATAGTACAGTTACTAAAATGATCATGTATTCTCTGTTTATATGCAAAGCTGGAGGCTAAAAGTGAGTGTAATTTGTGACTTTTCCTTATTGTTGTTACTCTCATATTCAATTTAGATAAAGTGAACTAGAGTTGCTGGGCTTCCAGTATGACTAGTGATGTAAACCAGTGTTAAATTCCGACTGAAATCACTGATTCGATCTCTTGATTTCATGAAGTTATTCCATAGTTACTTGAATAACTTTGAAGATTTACTAGTGCTAGAGTAGATAAAATTAAAGAAAATGATTTAGAGCTTAGTCAGTCAATGAAGTAATAATACAACAAAGGATACCATAAAATTAAATATTCTGCTAATGCAGTTTTTACTGACTGTTGAAGGTAAGTAAAAACATCCTTTACTCAGACTAAGGAATTTCACCCATTGCAAAGGGAGTTTTCAAAAAATTAAAGCAAATTGTCCAAGAATGAGTCTGCTGCGCAATCCATCATTCCTTCCTGACTTATAATGGTATCTGAGTTTTCCAAATAAGATGCACAAGTGATTCCCTAACAAGCAGTTTCAACATGCTGCAAGTATCTGTAAGTGCTTTGTGAGTGAAGGATAAAATGAAGCACTCATTTTCTTACAGGATGCAGAATTTTGATGAGCCATTGATGGAGGAAGAGAGTGCAGCAGCAGAACATCCCTATTATAATAATATCCCAAATAAAATGCCCCCTTCTGGTGGCTTCATTGATGCCAGACTCAAAGCAAAGATTCCCACTGCTGCAGATACAACTCAGGTCAGTGCAATTGCATTTATGCCTTCTCACAGATGGATCTGAAAAAAAAGTCTTATAAAGTAAATCAGGAACACAAATGTGTGGCTAGTTTTGAATGATCAGTGAAGATCTAGGAGACAACAGACTAGGCATTTTGAGAGCAAAGGGAGATGAATTCTTTGTGGTGTTAAAAAATTATGTAGGTTCAAGGAAGATAAACCCATTCAGGATTACTGTATCTGTAAACACCACATCTGTCTCAGTATGAAATGAGTGCACATTAACTGGAAAAATAATGATACAGAGGTTTTTGAACAGTCTAGCGTAGTCATTGCTAACAGTTACTTATGTTAATAACTCAGCAGCCATTAGTATTCAGCCAGATTCATACGTAGATCTTTCATCTCATACTGAAATGAAGCCTAATAAGATATTTCTGCCAGCATTGTGGTTGGAAGTTTAACTGCAGGACCTACATAGCTATGTAAGTGTTTTAGATCCAGCCCAGTTCTGCTGAAATCTCTTAGGGCCCTGTCTGCAAAAAACATTCTCCTATCAATACCTGAGTGAGTCTTCCAGTAGCAATGTGACTCTTTCAGCTATGGAGAGTGCTTGGGGTGTCCATTGATCCTACAAGTAGTTTCTTTTCCCATAGAATGTCAGGGCTGCCTAAGGAGGCAAATGCTCTGAAGTGTCATTTGAAATTAATAAAAGCAGGAATGAGTGAAGTTTTCATGAAGGTCACCAGTAATATCTTATTCCTAAACACATTCCTGAAATATATATTTTGACACAATAATAAATCAGAAATGAAGAATGAGAGTACACAGAATACAAACAAGGGAATTATCCAAACCACTCATAATATACCAGACTGTTATAAAGATTTTCTTTGCACATGTCCATTCTAGTTTGCAGCAGGAATGAAAAAAGAGAAGATCTATTACCAGAATCGTCACGTAGGAGACCAATTCAATGAAGACTGGCATCAGGAGACTGTTAAGCAAGGTGAGGCTTGCTAGTTTTACCTTTAATACTGCAAAACATCTTGGGTGTGCAAAGCATGTGGCAATCTGATGCCTTAAAGCCTTAAGGCAATGAAATGCACTTCCCTGATTCCTTTTGATAAGAATTTATTGCTGATATCAATGTAAAGCATATGATAAATGCCCCTGGATAAATTATTTAATGTACAGTTTTATAAAAATGTATATTTTGCAGAACAACTCATATATGGATTTAGCCCAATCTTTCCGCCATATAGCTTGCCATGTCTTAAAGTGTGTATTATTTAAAGACAGGCTTTTTGGTCTTTTCGGAAAATTTGATCCATGAGAATATGCAAGATGGAGTTTCCATCTTACAAAGGAAGGGCCTAAAGTCAGCAGCTATTTTAAAATATGGAATAATGCATGTGTTTGCACATGATTTTTGCTCTAAAAGTAACAAATACTGTGTGGTTTTCATTTTTCTGTTGCCTGTAAATTATAAGGAAATCACATCAAAATGTCTGCATAAAATTTTATCCCATCCATTCTTAAATGACAGCTTTGAGTTGTTTCTGGGGACTCTATTTTCAAATGCTGGAATATGGTATCTGCTGTTAATGTGCAGCAATTTGGGGATTTTGTTTTATTTCCTTTCCTCACAAGTCCCCAGCTGAATATTAATTTTGAAACTCACAATCCTTATTTACAAAAAATTCCCTTCCTTCTTGAATAATTAAAATTCATTGAAACACAGTTCTGTCCACTCATCAGCATTTTTTCCTACAAGGTTCATCAGTTACTATCTTTCCAGCTCCCATTTCAGCAAATTTTAAACCTATGGTGATGGGTTGTGATTTTATCATTTAATCTTTCTAACAACACTGTTCTGTAAAATAAAAAAAGTAAGAAGACAAAAAAATCTCTTAAATTTTCTTGGATCCCTAGATATTTATTGTATGCCAAAAGGGAAATCACAAGCAACCACTGCAGCAGAGATGCCAACGTATGTGAACACACAGCATATAAATATGGAAAGTCTACTGGCACTTCTGGCAGATGCTGAAAGTGACATCAGTGGAAACACAGATAGTACCAAAGAGAGCAGCCCAGAAAAGGATCTGTTTGATATGAGTAAGCTCCCTTTCTTTTCATTCCCTTTCTAACACGAAAATCAATATCTTTATGCATTAATTCTGCATACAAGTAATTATAGAATTGTCCAGATGGAATTTTAGTGTTCCAGTGAACTTAAGATGAATTTTAGAAATCACAGGGGTTTCATATCTGACATGGTTAAAAATGCAGTTGACCAAAGTATTGAAGCTAATTTGTACTAGATATGTGTTAGTCTGAGGTGAAACTTTTGTGTCCACAGCATCATGGCTATCTGTGTCAGAAGGAAAATTAATCATGGACTTTGTCCTGCAGGAAAGTGAATGAATGGCTTGGAGAACTTGCCTGCTCTAAGTATGTGTTACTAAAAAACCAATGCATACAGCAAAAACTTTATGCAGCATGGAATCTGAGTGGGAAATCAGAAGAGTATGTTATCTTTTCCTCTGGGTAGGACTACAATCCTACCTAGCTATCTCTTTTGACTTGGGAGTCAGCTTTCCCAAAGCCAGTATCTTATCTACTGTCTTAAAATAGAGATTTAAGCATCAGCATCGGCATTATTTTGCTGCTGATTATACCCATATACAGTGTTTTTAGTACTGAGTTGGTACTTAAAAAAAAAAATAATAAAAGTGTGGGGAAAGTTGTTTGATGAATAGGAAACTTTTCTTGTTATTCTATTCTTTCTGTTGCCACTCAATAGCTGATATCATTTATTCAATTTAGGTCATATAACTAAAAGGCAGTGAGACAAAGTGATAGGTGCCTGCAGGTTATGTCTATAATAACCTGTCTCCATTTCTTATATCTCAGTCAAAACTGTCTTTCTGACATGCTTTCACTGATTTTAGAATGAAAGAAGGGGAGAGGGGAGAAAGTTAGACAGTGTACATATGTATGAAATAAGAAAAGTCTGCTGTCTGAAATTATACATGTTAACATTGATTTGTAACAACTGTGCCCTTAAAATACAGACATGCTTACCTCTATACTAAACATATGCTTTTCCTAAAAATGAAAGCTGATTTCTCATGTTCCAGTTATACTTTATTGATCATTGAAATATAATGGAAAAGTAGTATCTGAAAATATGTCAACTTGAACAAAGTTATTAATTTGTCAAGTTAAACACAGGCTTTGTGCAGACTGTAATGTAGTGAAAACATACACAAAATAGATTCAAGAATTACCCAAATCATGACAGCTCTGTATGTGTCCTTTTAATTTGACCTAAAATAACTTCTCAGTGGTTCTCTACAAGTATGGCTACGTGTCCCTAGATTTAGAGCAGTCTATTCAGAGCTTCTGTAATGCTTCACAGTACTGCTTTGCATATATTCTTTAGTAAAACTAGCAGGCACAATAAAAATATGTCTTTATAATATGCTCTAGTTGGTCAGATGAAAATCTGGAAAGAGCAAATAGCTTCTGTTAGTTAAGTATAGCCTATAATGAAGCATACACTGACCAATTTACTACTTCTCTAAGACTGCTGGGATACTTAATGATACATCTTTTTCATTGGGATTAAAGGTTCAGCTGAAATTTAAAATATTGTTTCACGAAGGCTGATTTCACTGAGGTAAATCACAACACAAGTGTCAGTCTGCCTCTGTATCACAAAGTCTCCTCCCTAAGCTGAGACTTGGAGGAGGCTGAGTAATCAGGGTGACTGAATCTTTCTGGAGACTCAGTAATAGATAACTGTTAAGTGAGTATGTTGCTTGACAATGGAACAGATATGATTATATTGACTTTGTGCACCAGTATTATGCAATTTATTTGAAATGAGACTGAATGATGTAACTAGTAAGGCAAAAGGACAGCTTTGCTCTGTACCAGGTTATATAAATACAACTGTTGACAACGGCCATTTCTGAAAAAAATCTATGTTTCAAAAGCTAAGGTTCACTTTGATTTTTGTCACTATTTTTCTGCATGTCACATATTATTTTAACATATTACATTCCTTGGTCTTAGTATATGATATAAATCAGTAGGCCCAGCACCCCACCTTTCTCTCTTTTTTTCTCTAAAGATAAAGAGAAGCTGCTGGAACACAAAATAAGTACAGTTTAAAATGACTGGAATATCACTGTTTTGCAATTTGATTTACCTCTGAATAATCTTACACTTGTTTTATTTCCACAACCAGAACCATTTGAAGATGCCCTCAAGAACCAAACGTCTGAGCCTGTGCTGAGTAAATTGACTTCTGTTGAATGTACTAGTCCTCTCTTATGTAGAGCTGCTGACTGGACTAGAACAGAAGAGCTGAGTATAGAGCCATGGTATCAAGGAGAGATGAGTAGGAAAGAAGCTGAACAGCTGTTAAAGAAATGCGGAGACTTCCTTGTGAGAAAGAGTACCACAAATGCAGGTTCTTATGTACTGACAGGCATGCAAAATGGACAAGCCAAACACCTTCTTTTGGTGGATCCAGAAGGAACTGTAAGTATGACTCAGCGATGCAGGAGGTTTCCATCTCTGTTTTCTCTGAGTGTTTAATCTTATTTGCAACTGATTGTAATTACAGCTTCATGTTAAATGCAAGTTACATCCATTTCTCTCCTAATGCCTAGGCGAAGATGTACTGCATGAATTCTGCACATTGTAGGGGTAGGTGAAGACATCCTGCTTGACTTAGGTAAACTGCAGGAAGCCTAGGGATGAGGTTCCCTGGTTTTGGCCACTGCAGTATTGTCATACTCAAAAGTGTAGCTGAGTCCTTATCTAATCATCTAGCTGCTGGTGGCCATGCAAGTTCAACCAGCAGTTTTGAGGACTAACACCAACTCCCCCAAGTCATGAAGTTTTCCAGCCCTGAAAGCTAGAAGACAGATGGGTTAAAAGCTACACTATCACTTTGTTGCACAGGGACTCCTTTAACTGATGAAGCCTCCCAGCAGCAGCACAGTGAGTGCCAAGAACTTGTTTTTCTAGCAGTCCTGTTGTACTTCCAGGGAGGCTGAGGCAGGCTTCAGTGAGCACTGGTGTACATTAATCTTGGCTCCTGGTAGCTGGCAACTGACAAATCCTCTTATGCTATAAAGAACAGCATTAAAAACCACAAAGTAAATGAGAAAACCCTGGGAACGAGATGGCCTGTTGGCATCCATTTCAGCTGAGAAACCTGCAGAAGGAAGACCCAGGAGAATTGTACTAGTCTTGTAGACTCTAACCAGAATAACCATAGCACTCTCTGGCCTACTTACTTACTTACTTTTGACACATGAGGGCAGTCAAAGACTGTTTTTAACACTTTTATGTGCCAGCTTCTGGCTTGGGCTTTACTGGTAGGAATAGCCTCCTTCTTTAAAATGTTGCTGGGTGCTGTCTGACTCCTGCAGTCGGACCCACTAATTCTTTCTTAAAAATAAGCACTGTAGGCTACTTTCTGCAAGGAATATGTTGCTATGTGGTGTGGCAAGCGCAGAGATTTGAAGCCAGGAGGTATGGAAGCCTGATGATAGTTGTGTATCTGTTACTCCTCTGGCTGGCAGGGAGTACCAAGGCCAGAGATGCTTTCTGCACACCTTGGCAGGGCTCTCCAAGTATTTCTGCTGCTTTGCAGCGAGTTTGCAGGGAGGCACTACTCAGTAATGAGCTATATTGAGGTTAGTTGAGCTGTTTGTATGAATTGTGAGGACCTGACACAGCTCCTGAGTAGCTTTATTTATAATTTGTCACAGTCATCCATAAAATGCGTGTGTGTGGTGGCATGTACTTCTCTGCATGGCCTCAGAGTGAAAAAAAAGCTAGTTCATACAAAGCATGCCTAACAGCCACTTCACACACAAATTATCTAGGAGCATGTTACAGCCCCTCAAGGTCTGTTTTGAGAGCAGAGATAACTGTCCTGATGCTTCTACTCTGATCCAGCTCAAACAAACAAACAAACAAACAAAACCCCACTTGCTCAGATAAAGCATGCTAAAGGTAAGGACTGCGAACTTTCTACTGGGTTTAGGATTAGAGCTTGAACAGTAATGAGGATGATGTGTGCTGCTGATGGTGAGAAAGTTCTAACATGATTTGGAAGGACTGAAAGTATCTTGGCTTGAATATAGGTAGTGAAAGCTCCTGATGTTATAAATATATCTTAATTTGCAAAATATAGCTTTGAATAATGACAGGAAGTTGTGTTTTAAAGAAGAATAAAAAATTACAAGAGCCTGCTAGTTTTCGTTAGTGAGGCAGCCATGTGTAATTGAGTGGAAGGCATCAAAGTTGCTTGTTGTTTCCTTTTCCTGTGACATTGTATCCCAAATTCTAATAATGTTACCAGAACTTTATTATGAAGACTGAAATATTTCAAGTGAGGTGCCCACTGAAGTACAGTATTTCTGGAAAGTTTTAACAGAAAAATAGATTATAAAAGTTGTTATCTATTTTTGAGAACAGTTGAAGGAAAATAGATGATATGCTTAATTTTAGAGCAGTGTCTATACACTTTTTCTTGCAACATCATAGTGCTATCCCAATACAGAGCACTGTTTCAGCTTTACTCTGCCTTTGGAACTATATGCCTGAAATAGTTTTAAATGTAAAAAGGAAAAAAATGTTTTGAGAAGATGAAGTTATAAATTTAAATATCTCTTTGTAATACAAATTAGGTTTTGATCTGTTCTAGCTGTGACTGGTTTACCTTGCAACATTAATTTTCTCATATTACAGATGTAATAATTCATTCAGGATACTGGTACAAATGCTAGTAAGAGGGCCAGAGAAAATTACATTCCTTGTCCTAATGTGTTTTAGTTTCAAAGTCCCAAGCAGATACTATGCGTGCAGCATGGGGCAAACCCAAGTCAAACAGCAGTGGTATTTGGTCACCTCCAGGGAAAGGGAATTTTCCAGTGGAAGCCAGCGATGTTTGTTAGTACCTTCTTTGTTGAGGAAAAGCAGAGATGCTGAAGTGCACAGAGAGGTTCTGATGTTGCCAGAAAAAAAAAAAAAAAAGTAAAAAAAAAAAAAAGTGAAAACACCTGAAAGGAACCTTTAATTTCTTGAAGAAGAAAACTTGAGCTAAAAGTCCATCTTATGGCAAAGCAAAATATTGTATGGAAACTTTTCAAGCAGATCAGGTGTGTGCTTTCATCAGGTGTAGAAACAGTATACTGGCCCATAGATAACTAGCCAAATATCTATTTGGAGAGACTAAAAGAGTCATAGACAAAACAGAGATCTATTTCTACTGTTTCTGATGGAAGAGCAGCCAGTGTCTAAGACATGATCAATTGTCCCATTTCATCCTTAGAGAATTTGGTGTAAAGTTAAGGGAAAAGGTATTTTGCTGCTTAATCTATCTTCTTGCATACTTTTTTTGAAGGTTCGTACAAAAGATCGTGTCTTTGACAGCATAAGTCATCTCATCAATCATCACCTAGAGAATAATTTGCCAATAGTTTCTTCTGGGAGTGAACTCTGCTTGCAGCAGCCTGCTGAGAGGAAACACTGAGTCAAGATAATTATTTCAGATTTTGTAACTTGCAAGCTATAACTGGTGAAAACTGCAGATCTCAAAATGTATGTTAAAAAAAAAAAAAAAGCATATTCCCTATAATTCACCAGTATATTTTCTTTAGTTTTAATAAACCCTCTTTCACATGAAAATTCTCAATGCTTTATGTGGATATGAAGCCACAACATAAGGCTTTTTAAAAAAGTAATTTCTATAAAATTGTTCCGATTCTCTGTTGTGAATATTAAGTGTATATATACACATTATACATAAATACTACAAGTATTTATATTTTTCAAGTCAGTCTATTGATGTTATAGGACTAATCTTCTGTTACATGTGTTTTTAACTGAAGAAAATCACCAGTTGTGATTGTTCAGATAAAAACAGAATACAGCAGTCTCAATTTCTCAAGGGAAAAAAAAAAGAGCATCTTATTTATGATTTTATCTAAGAAGCACAACTATGGGGATAACCATTGGATCACACTGCTTAAATACTATGTAAGGAGAATGAATTCAGCAACTTGTACTCCAACTCAGAATTTTAACATGAAAGGATTTTAAAGTGTTATTCATTGTTCGATATCAAAACCATTTTATCTTTCTGATGTCAAGTCTGAATTCTTGTATGATACTACTCAAAGCATTTATATGTAGCTTTAACAATGATTTGGTGTGATCTCTTTGTGTACAAGATGTATGCACTTGGTTGTTTTTAATTATAATATAACAATATTCTGCAACTTGAATTTATTAATTTGAGTGACAAAGTTATTTGATTAATTTGATAAAGTTCTCTAATTGTAGTGAAGAGGTAGGTATCCTTGACTGTCAGTTTCCAGTGGAGATGTTATATACTGATTAGACAAGTTCCAGTATCTTGTGTTTAGTTGGTTTAATACAAAACATGAATGGTTGGTAAAAGACGTTTGAAAAAAGCTTTTCTTCTTACAAAAAATGAAAACTATTAACACTTAGTGATCAGTTTTGCAAATGATGTAATTTGTGTTTACCAAGTTACTAGGTGCCTCTTCCAAAGTATAACTTGACTTCGGCCTTCAGCAAGTGATAGTACAAATATCAGGTTTTCTCTGTTTATCAAAGATGCATTTCTGGCAAATACATCCTTGACTTTTGGTACTGGGAAATGTTTTAATGAAGGTTTGTGCTGTTCAAGTGCAAGGACTATATGAATTTATATTCCTAGAACCTGTAAAATGTAAAATCATTGAGCCAAATTCAATAGACACAGTTCCTGTTATGGCAGAGTTTTTAGCCAGAGCCACGATATAGCCTTCAGCATTTCAAGGTCACAGGCATCTCAAATCAAATAATAGACTTGATTTGTAATGGCCAAAACTCAGCAGGATAAGTCTCGGTTATGCACCTGCCTGTGCTGAAGTAGCTTTTAAGATATTTGCTTTTAAGGATTTTGAAAGTTCAAGAATTTGTTATATATTGTTCAAACCGATGAAAGAATTCATTTGGAATGAATTCAGACAACATCATTATATATGTGTGTGTGTATACATGTGTATATATAAAACAGAAAGAAAAATACCCAAACACAAAATACTTACCACAATTTCAGGTAGTTTTCTTAGACCTTTTGCTCTGAAACATGGTGAAGTTGCAACTTTGGAAGGTTTTTTTGTTCACAAGAACAAAAATTGGTAAGGTCTCTAAGACTGATCGTGTGACATATGCCATAAAAGTACTTCTGATTCTGTAAACAAGACATTCTGAAACCAAACTAAGACATTCAGTGAACCAAATGTTTCCAATTCATTTTGATTGCAGCTAGTTATTAGGTTTCTAGGTCGGAGTGCAAGCTGAAACCAAAGGAAAGAAATCAAATAAGCATGGCACAAATTAGCATGGAGTGGGACAAGTAGAATTCTTAAGATCTAGGTCCTTTTACCAGGTTGGAATTTGCAAGGGAAAGTGAAGAGATCCATCAAACTGATTTTATTGATGAGAATCCATTCTTACCATATTTCCATTTGAAGTATCTCAGTTGACACTTTTTTTCATCATATAGAATACCTTTGTTCTGGGCTTCTACCTTCCTACAGCCATGAAATGGGAAGTTTTTACCATTATATCACTAGCCATAAAAGAAGGCCACTTCAGAAAGTGTCAGGTGCCTAATTTCTTCAGATGCCTTCAAGAACACCACCTGCTACCTATCTCTGTTTTAGATTCCAAAGTATCTTGTCAACATAATGCATGGAAAAATGTGACAAGACACAGGTGTATGACTGAAGGCACTAAATAAAGACTGAAATAAGCAGCTAATTTTTTTTACTGTTGTCCAAATGGTAGCTTTAATAACTTAAAAGCCAAATAGCTGTATGTTTTGGAAATTAAAGCAGGTGTCAGAGACATAAAATGAAAAATCTTGGCGGAAATATACAGTTCCCCAAATTGTATGTCACACACCGCTTCCAGATTTTCAGACTTTTTTCCAGAGGCTGTTTCAGACTGTTCTGTCCACTCATCCAATTTGCCAAGTATGTTCACTGATGTTACAAGGGTTATATGTAGCTTGATTGGGCACAGTTTAGTCCTACGTGTTTTGGGCTGCAATAATGTCCTGCTATGGCAATGTTCTGGGAGACTCTGGTCAGTAGCAAGGTCCAGACCCTTTTCTAAGTCACTGGGAATGATCTTGAAGGTAGAAAGAAGGAAAAGCATAGAGGCAAAAGTTCCTTTTTCTTTTTTTTTTTCTTTTTTTTCTTTTCATTGTTACTCTCATAGATTTGGCTTTCCTTCATATGACAATGCTGTAAAAATTGTACAGCCATTTGGATACAAGATCCTAAACTGCTGCCATTAGAGTTGAGGAGTCAGGGCTCATTTCTGTGAGAAACATCATTGTAGGCAAACTGAAGATACATGAAGTTATGAAAATGATTTGAATGGTGTACAATTAACTAAATATGGTACTGCCAACACCATTACAATTTGAGCCTTTTAATGTTTGCCTTTGGATATGAATCTCCTCTCCTTTTGATTTTCTTTTCCATGTAGTCCCACGGGCTATACACTTACTTGTTTAAAAATATAATCATCATGACTATCATATGATCATCAGCATGACTACAAGAGTTAGAATTTAAGTGAAAGAAAAATCTACTAGGCTCAATAAAAATCACTGAGATTAGACAATATTGTGGTATTCTTTTATATTTTTCCAGGGAATAATTGAGAAGCTAGAAGTGAAACTGAATCAGAAAATCTCATTAACATTTTTGATTCCAGTTGTATTGCTATTCTCTGAACTACAAGCAATGAAAATACATTACATTCCTTTAAACAAGACAAGTGAAACAAGTACTTATGATTGATTTTTTTAAAGATTAATTATTCCAATAATAGCATTTTCCATTGAAGCTGAGAAGGCTACATTGGACAGCTGAGGTATAGTCACATCCCAAATTTTCAGGTTACCAGTTACTTCAGGTGCTTTACAAGCAACCCCAAAGGTAGAAAACATGAGCTGAAAACTGAATTCCTTCTAACATCAATGAGAGTTTGTCCCTCACTCACCTCCATAGCAAAATAAAAGGATGTTCAGGTTGGCTGGTCTTCAGTGCAGAAGGGGATGCAATTATTGTTTAAATGCCAAGGACTTTGCACATGAGGAGAGGGTAGAAGGCTGATGTGACGCCCATCTACAAGAAGGGCCGTAAGGAGGATCCGGGGAACTACAGGCCTGTCAGCCTGACATCAGTGCCAGGGAAGGTCATGGAACAAATCCTCCTGGGAGAGATCACACGGTTCGTGCGCAATGTTCACGGGATCAGGCCCAGCCAGCATGGGTTCATGAAAGGCAGGTCGTGTTTGACCAACCTCATCTCCTTCTACGACTGGGTGACCAGACTGGTAGATGAGGGAAAGGCAGTTGATGTAGTCTGCCTAGACTTCTGCAAAGCCTTTGACATGGTCTCTCACAGTATCCTTCTGCGGAAACTGGCTGCCTGTGGCTTGGACAATTTTACCCTCTGTTGGATAAGGAACTGGCTGGAGGGCCGTGCTCAACGGGTGGTGGTCAATGGAGTGAAGTCTAGCTGGAGACCTGTTACAAGTGGTGTCCCCCAGGAGTCGGTTCTGGGGCCCATCCTGTTTAAAATCTTCATTGACGACTTAGATGAAGGGATTGAGTGTACCTTGAGTAAGTTTGCAGATGACACCAAGTTGGGAGGTGGGGAGGCCCTGCAGAGGGATCTAGATAAGCTGGATCGCTGGGCTGAGGTGAATGGGATGAGGTTCAACAAGGCCAAGTGTCGGGTTCTGCACTTTGGCCACAACAACCCCATGCAGCGCTACAGGCTTGGGGATGAGTGGTTGGATGAGTGTGAAGAGGAAAGGGACCTGGGGGTGTTGGTTGATGCTCGGCTGAACATGAGCCGACAGTGTGCCCAGGTGGCCAAGAGGGCCAACAACAACCTGGCCTGCATTAGAAACAGTGTGGCCAGCAGGAGCAGGGAGGTGATCATCCCCTGTACTCAGCACTGGTGAGGCCGCACCTCGAGTATTGTGTTCAGTTTTGGGCCCCTCACTACAAGAAAGACATTGAGGCCCTGGAACGTGTCCAGAGAAGGGCAACGAAACTGGTGAGAGGTCTGGAGCACAAGTCTTATGAGGAGCAGCTGAGGGAGCTGGGATTGTTCAGCCTGGAGAAGAGGAGGCTCAGGGGAGACCTCACTGCACTGTACAACTTCCTGAAGGGAGGTTGTGGTGCAAAAGGGTCTGGCCTCTTCTCCCAGGCAAATAGTAGGACCTGAGGAAACGGCCAGAAGTTATACCAAAGGAGGTTTAGGTTGGATATTAGGAGAAACTTTTTCTCTCAAAGGGTGGTCAGGCACTGGAATGGCTGCCCAGGGAGGTGGTGGAGTTGCCATCCCTGGTAGTGTTCAAGAGGCGCCTGGATGAGGAGCTACGAGATGTGGTTTAGTGCTTGTGGTACTATAGGAATGGGAAGGTGGTTGGACTAGATGATCTTGCAGGTCGTTTCCAACCTTGTGATTCTGTGATTCTGTGATTCTGTGATTCTGTACAGTAGCTTCCTCCACTGCAAATCCTACAGGGCTCTATCAGAAATCTATCTGCCGTACTTGTTCAACAAAAAGAAAAGAACAAAGGAGATATGTCTTAGACTAGGATTTCAGTACAATTTACAGTACATTTACTGCCTATTGTTACCTGGCAACACTGAATTTCTAATATTCTGTTATCATTCTTCTTTCCACTACAAAATGCTCGCATTTCTTATTATCATGGTCCCTAGGCATCAGGATGTGCAGTAAGAGGAGGAGAATTCATAAAATTTATATCACAGTGCAACTGTTACTGGTATATCAAAAGCCAGCTACAGTATTCACCATAGAATGTATGCGTATTTTGATATTTATAAGTAGTAAATGCTCCACTTCAAAGCAAAGTTTTGCAGCCTCTAAGACATTTGCATCTCTAGAACAATTGCAATCCGTGCATTTTCTGACAATATATTACATATCAGCTTTCAAACCTTTGTTCTTAGAATCCCATATCTGTATGAAGTAAGTGGTGAAATGAAGAATTTTATGTAAACCACATTTCCCTTAAAAAAAAACAAAAAGAGCTGAAGTAATAGCTACACTTTCCTTTTGATCTACCAGTCTCTCAATATGCTCATAAGAAATCCAAATATACATTTACCTAAATTGCTGAAAAAACATGTTGGTTTGCTCTGTCTTTTTTGTGCAAAACTTTGTTTGCACCTATACACTCTCCATGCTGGTTCCAAGCTGTCAGGATATGGAGCTAATTACTGCTCAAATTCTTACACACAATGTCTGAACTTTGCTCACATCCATGCTGGATGCAACTGTAACATGCACAAGGCTGTGTAGAGGATACACAGGCATAATGATTTGCTGGCAGTTAACCAGAGACTTGGGGAGAGGCAAAAGGTGAAAAGCTGCCCTGGGAGAGAAGACCCTGGGGGTTAGAAGTATGAGGCTTGCCAACATGAGCCAATAGGCATGTAAGCCACTAAGAAGACTAAAGATGTGTCACCAAATTATAAACATGCTGATTGGCTGATAGGGTTAAAGCAGAACCATAGCAAGGGAAATTGCAAAACACTTGTGCAATTCCTAAGGCTCATCTTTTTTTGAGACACTCCCGATCTGTTCCTCTGCATTCTCCAATATGAGCATAATATATGGCTTCCACAGAGAGTGAGCAGTAGTTTTCAAAACCTTTTTTTGAAATCTCAATAAGGGGGATAAGAGATGCAGGTTTCTAGCCAAAGTACTGTATAGGGGAAAAGCTAAGGAAAGGGTGTTTAAAACATTGTTTGACAACAGCACCAGGTGTGGAAAACAAAAGAAAAAAGGAAGATGAAACTAGATCATTCATTCTACTAACCCATTCTGTGGGAGATTCGTTGTAATGAATGTAGCCTCAAATTCTGAGATTAAGATGCAGGCTTAGGTTCCTGTAGTAGTTATTGTGAAGGTTGAATAACAAAGAATAAATGACAGCTTGTCATCCTTTTTCTTCAGTGAGACAAAAACTACCCAAAACACCCAAATACTCATTCTAAAACAGTGAATTTTTTCATTAACTGAAGTATGTGAAGATTATGATTGTTAGGAGATAAATATCCTGTGTTGTGGCTAGACTGACACTTCTAAGTTCTGCAGAGTTAAATCTTGAGGGAAGATGGGTTTCTTCTTTTGAGATAAATGTTTCTCTTCATATTTTGTGGACAATAATGAAACAAAAAAGTGGCTATTTTGCTGTAAAAGAGAGTCTGACTATACATTTTATATTTATTAATATTTATTACTTTTAGAAACATTTTTAATCGAGAACTGCAGGAAAAAATAAAGTGTGTGGAAAAACAGATCACTTATACTCCCAAAAACTTCAGTGAATCTCAAGTTTTTGCCTGCTTGCTGATTGTAATATTCTAGATATGAAGGCAAATCTTGTCTCTGAGGAAGACCTTAAGCAACAGAATTTGTGTCATGTAAGTGTCATGCAGCTGTTTTCTGATAACTCAGTTTGTGTTTGATAACCAAATTAATAAAATAACAAGCACTGCTATCAAAACTGAATGCATGTAAACTGGGCTTGAGTTTGTGCTCCTATGACCAGGTTCCCTAATAATCCATCTATATCTATCTATCTATCTACTATCTACGTACCTACCTAGTTCCTACCTACCTACCTACCTATGGATTGGATATTGAATATTTTTAAGTTAATGAATTACACAGTAGCAATAGAGACCAAACATTTCAGAGGACAAGGTAGTACGTAAAAGTACTGGTCAGCTACGCTGACTTTACATTAGAGCAGTTCTGTTCACTTTGACAAAGATGACTTTGGTTTCTACTTCTCTTTTTCGCCAAACAACATTTTCTTGATACAGAAGTACAGGCTCATACTCTTTGCAGCAGATGATGTGCTCGCCTGAAAAGGTAGCTTGATGTATGAGTGAGAGTAAACCAGTTCCACAGTTTCTCCATGGAGAGTGACTGCAAGGATGACGTCCATACAAGAGCAGCTGTTTAGTGTGCTGAGAAGAAAGCCTTCATGTTTGAAGGACATTTAGCTGGGCTGACACTCCCCAGTTCCCCTTCCTACACCACCAGAAGTTCCTTGCAAAGACCCTTCTCTCAAAACCAATGGGAGAAAAGTTTAGCTCAAGAATGCCATTGCTCTTAGTGAGAACTGCACCCCTGAAGTCCACATAGGTGCTGGCACATCTCTTCACGGTGCTTGCAGCCTGCTGAAGGCTGCATTAAGCCTCATGGCCCAGCGACACCCAAGCAGAAATCCCTGAATCACTGCTGCTGTCCTTGCTGCTAGTGAGTTTTTGCCATGAGAAGAGATTGTCCCCAAGTCCAGGGACTATGCTTCTAGCATAGTCAAGGGCTGATCTGTGCTGCAGACTATATTGCAAATGGCGGGTTAAATGACACTGATTGGTGCTAGCAAACCTCAGCTCAGGAGGGGTGGATTGGCTTCCCTCAGGATCTGAGGTGTTTTTTGGCACCTAACATTTCATACCCAAGTCTATTTTCCATTTCCTCACTAAAGCTGTTGGAAAAAACCAAATGCTTCAGGCAATGCTACACCCAATGCTACAGTTGCTTAGTGCAAAATGTGCCTTTTCTATGGATGTTGCAGACAGTCAGTGGGCCCTCAAAGCAGATATGGTCAGAGAGCTTCCAGAAGAGGCTGTTTTCTGCTGGCTCCAGACTGACAGAACAGTAGCCTTGGGCTCGCTGCTGCTCTCATAGATAGTGCTTTCAGGCATGATATCCAGAATTTACATCTGTGTTTTCTAAGGAAGGCCAGAATCATTCTACATTTCCTGAAAAGATGAATGCTACATAACAACTTTGCTCAAAGCTTTGAGATTCAAATAAAAGTTTCCTAAATGTTTATGGTACCCATACTCGATAAGACTCAGCAATTGTGAAAGCTGAATATGAAGGCTGCTTTTTGTTGTTGTTGTTGTTTTTCACCTTAGATGGTTGTATTTCAATTTCTTTTGCAATCTGGAAAAGAAAATCCCAACCCATGAAATTGAAATATGAATTAAATGTGAACTTGCTTTACAGTTTTTGTTCCATGTAAAACCAATAATGAATGAAGACTGGCTCAGATTTCTGGCAGACTCAAATCATCCAAGATATTAAAAAGTTTGGATACTACACAGCATTTTAAGGAACTTTATAAAATTTTAGGGGGGTAGAGCTACGTCCTAGTTGTTTAGGATCCATAACTTTTAAGCCCTTGATTTATCCTACTCCAAAATTTTGCTATGGAATCTTCCCAAATTTGCATTTAACCTAATATATCTTGTATCCACTGAAGAAGGACCAGGAATCTTATTTTTATCAGTATTATGTAGATTTTATTACCAGTATTCCATGAAAAAGCATGAGTGCTAAGAACCTGCTTCAAGTATGCTGGGCAATGAAATACTCCTCACTTTCCAATTTCCTACCATAAAAAAAATCCAAAACTTAAAAAACAAAAACAAAAACCTCCCAAAATAAGAGAGAAAGTAGAGTGAGAGTTGTTGGTTTTTTTGTTTGCTTTTTTTTGTTTTGTTTTGTTTTGTTTTTAATTATTATTGACACATAATCATGTCTTCCATCGGTTGCTTGTATTGCTTGTACCACGCATCAACTAACAGCAGCTAAGGCTAGCACCCAGGTGTCACAACTTGTACTTACAGGCATGTTTCTAGATTTTGGCTACTGAAATTTTTATTTTTCACTTAAATATGGAATATCACATAACATCATAACACAGTGTGAGGGTTGATGTGGAACAGCCACCATGATTTCTTCACCAGCTGTTCTGTCTTCTCAGCCTTTCTCATTTACAAAAAGCAAGAAATGCTGCCACATGCCACCACTTCATAAGCTAGCACTTAAGAGCACATTAGCATTTTAGCAGGCAGTTTCCAAACAGGCAACTTCAAGGCAGATCTTCAAGACCGAAAATACACACAAATAGCACTGTAGCATCTAAGAACTGAAGCCACAACAATACAATGTTGTCAGTTTTATTTGTAAAAAAACCTACAGAGTTGCTGACCTTGTCCTTATCTGCAGTGTACGCTCCTGTTCATGGTAAGCTTTGTTTATCTGGTTCTTTCTCTCTACATGCCTTGTGTTCTACCATTTTTGGTAGAAGTTATTCATACTTACTACTCTCTTTCACAGTTCGTTCAAATGCAGTCTACGTTCTTTGTTCGTGCACTTCATTAAAAGGAAGAAAACATTTACAAGTACCCTTCTAAATTGTAAAGATAATCACAATGTAAACCTCTACATTTTAAAGGCATTACATCACTTCTGCATTGTACATGCTTGTCTTAATGCTGTTGATAATGATTAAGATCAGACTCAAGCTAAAGATGAGCTGCTACGAGTTATTAATTAAAAAAGCTTCAACCTCTTCTGATAGTGCTTAAGGGGAAGTGTGGTTTGAGGCATTAAACAGGAATCTTCAAAAGAGTCCAAGAAAGTTAGATGTTTTCATTGAGAAGTATCTGAGTATTTCCCTTCCACTGAAGGGAAAGCCTACACCGAAGCCTGTAGCTGTAAAGTAACTGGATGGAAGTACCACAGGCCACTTCCATGGGAATATAAACTCAGATGCTTCTGAAGTCCTATCTACTCCAGGTCTTATGTTTTAGTGATGCCAAACAGCATCCTATACTGAGGCTGGTAAGTCAGTGATAAATTACAAAGCTGTTTTCATAGAGGTTTTCTGGACCTGCCCCTCAAAAGGATGATTCTGAGGCTCCTGAAAAGTTAGAAGATCTTTCAAACTGAATGGGCTCTCATTCCAGATCCAATGCAGGGCCTGGTATAAACTGAGAGATGCTGTTCAGCATGATTCTGTTGTACCACATCTTCCCTCCTGTATCTACAAAAGTGCTCAGAGATGATAGAAGCATAAAGTGGTTCACTGGTTGTGGTTCACTGCTCTCTGAAATGATACATCCCTGCTTAAGAAACTTAAGAATCTCAATTTAGGTAGTGCATTCACAAGGTACACAGGTTTATATGGGTTTTACATGCATGTTTAAATACACTAAAAAAAGTCAGTAAAAATATATGCATTGAAATAATACACACCCTTGATTTATGTATGGTTGGGTCACATTTTAACTGCTTTAAATAGCAAACATACATAACCTCTCACAATAGTTATTTACTACTGCATGCTTAAAATAAATCGTGAAATGTCGATGACAACTGTCATGTTGTCCTTCACTAAACATGAAAAGTTTGAGCAGCAGTAGAAACAAAAATACTGCATTGATATGGCATCAAAGTTTGTCAGTTTAAAGCTACTACTTCGTGTATTTTAAAAATCCCCCTCAGAACACATCTGCCTATTACTATAATTCGTCACTTTATACTCTATACTACAATATAATGTTTAAAATACAGTTAACTCTAACCCATCAATGACTTTTTAATAAGGTATTGTACAAATATACAGCTATTTATAACAGATACAATAAAGCCATTAACATAACAGCAAGATACATAAAATTATAATCCCCAATATATGGAATGAGCTTTTCTCTGAGTCTGACAAAATCAGGCTCATTTTTTAATTATCAGCAGCGTTCAGTGAATGCTGAAGTTTTACTTATTTTGTGAACATTCAGTGAATGTAACAGATTTTACTGATGTCCTGAAGGATCAAGTGGTGTCCAGTACAGCTTCACAACGTAATGCCATCACGGTCACAATGTCAAGAGATGTGCATGGTCTCTGAACTGGCTGTTGAGTAGCATGAAAAGTTTTTTCTGGATGCCTTACTGAAAGATACGCAAAGCAAATGACTGTTGATGATGAAGTC